GGTTCTTTATGATTTTCGTGATTTTGGTGATTCTTAGGATTTTTAGGATTGTACTACCTTAGGACCGCAGTAACTATCAAGGTACATTTTACCCTTTCACAACGTACAGTTCGTATCTAGCGATTTGATTGGCTGGTAGAAAGGATCGGCAAAAAATTTTCGCATACAGTTCGAGTACATAGTGTACAGTACGTATAATACTGTACGTGCACATCTCTAGCCCTGAATACTGGCAGTCCAATGGTCACGCGCACCACACGAAGTTCGATACCTCACCTACAAAATTCCGCTTTCGCGTAATCATCTAAAAAATCTTTAAGTTCGTTTATGTTAGGGTTAGTGTATAGATTAAGATTAGAGCATAGGGCCACATAGAACAAAATTTCCTAAGGGTTTATTTTTTGTTAATGCACAAAAGGCGGTTTATTGTATGAATTCGACAAAAGACCAAACTCTGATTTATTATTGGCTGTTTGTCGATTGTCACGTGACAGTGGAATTTCTTAGGTGACGCTGGGAGTAGATTACGATGGGGTCGCAGAGATAAAATTGTAATGGGTAAGAAGTTAAAGGTAGTATTAGGAATAAATGAGGTGAAGCTAAAATTGCGTAATCGAAGTAATCAATCCACGACTGATATCATATTCGATAGATATAGATTGTTTTGGTTAGGTAGTACGAAGCATCATTATATTTTAAAATAGCAACAATAGGCTGCGGTAGACACTTTGTATTGTAAGTTACGAACTTCCTTCCCATGGCAAAATAATAAAAGAACTCCGTCAATCAATCAACCAAAAAAAAAAAGATTATGCGTAAAACTGGTTTGAGGTAAAAAAAAAAAAAAAAAAAAAAGAAAAAGAAAAACAAAGAATTGACTAAATAATAATCTGATAGCATTAATAATGTTATCTTCTAATCTTTATAAGAATATTTTTTAAAATTAATAAAAGAATCTTGAAATGGAGATTTGAATAAATTTATTTATTCTTTTTCTGTAGGGTTTTTCGATTAGAAAAAGACCCGGACGCGTATCATGGCCTATATTATATATAAATTTCCAATTAACTTATTTCTTGTGAATTATATTCATTTAATACTCCAAAAACAAGTTAACCATTTAAGTATCGAGTTGGACTGAGTTCGGACTTCAAAATCCTTATCAATTACATTAAGCTTAATTTAACCTTATTAATGAAAAAGTACAACTGGTAATTGGATTTAAAGTGCTATACAGGAGTATGTACATCGTCTTGTTTTCAAGTTTCCACATCCGGAATGATGGTAACACTTATTTGAATAGTCTCATTCTGCCCAAAAATGGTATAGATGAAGATCGTAAACTTTGTTATTTCCAGAAGGGCAATTAAAGCTGCAAATATATAAATATTCCCTCTGAACGTCCTTTCTGACTGGAATTAAACTGTATTAAACATAACTATTATACAGGTTTATTGGACAAAGTTTCAAATGCGTATTATTTTTACATTTAATTTCTTATAACTAATTCACAAATTTGTTTATTCTGTAAACATATAGTATATCCAAACATGGCACCAAAAGAGAACAATTCACTTCAAGCTATGGAAGACTTTTGCAAAAACATGAATCAATGGGCTGATGGTGAGGGTGAACATCGTCGTCATGCCTTTAACCTTGGGCAGCTGCTCTTAAAGGCAAACCCAAATTCTAGGGGCAGAGATGGTTCCACTCGTGGTATATTTATCATCGGTGATCAAAGTTCTGCAAAGTCTACCACTGTAAATAGTATCATCAAACAAGTTGCCCTTCAAATGGGTGGCAATACTGTCACTAAAGTTAGAACGTGGATTGAGCATCGATACGATCCGGATTTGGAGCGTGCTGAGTACGACTTAGTATTACAAAAAGAAAGAAGAAATGAAGATCTCCTTCGCGGTGGTAACCTACAGGCATTATCCGAAAAATTCACTCGAATAAATAATACCATGGATGATACGACGGAAGCTAGGATTATCATTCGCTCGGACATTCCGTCATTCGCTATAGATTGTTGTGATAATCCGGGATTGACTCCAATAAACGAAACGATACAAAAAATAACCGATAATATTACACGTCGAACGCTGGAAAGGGTTTTAGAACGTCAGAAATCAAAAAACGATAGCATCGTGGTGTTATGCGTTTCAGCACTGTTTTTTGAGAATGCGTCTTGGCCACGTCATATGGACCTAATCGAACAAATCCATGGTGATAACTTGATTGTCCTTGTAACAAGAATGGATCAGCTCAATATTCGGAGCGTGGCGCAGGAAATTAAAGACGAAGAAGATAACAATGCCGAAGTTGCCAACCCTGAACCCATTCGCTGCAGCGCTTGGGAAATCCTCAAATGCATTCACACAAAAATTCAACGTCAAACTGGATCTCGTTCGTTTCCAGATGGTGTACAGTTTCATTATGCAGCTTCTAGCAGCGTTCGTTGGGAGGTGTTGTCTGGACCTAATGGATGGAATGCATTTGTAACATCAGAAAAAGAAAACGACAAAAAGATGCGTGAAGTTCTCGGTGTATGTGACGATGAAACAAGGAGCTTGCATAATGAACAAGCATGGCGCGACCATGGAATTGAATTGATTCCAATGGATCCAAAACAGAGATCAGAATTCGATAAATGTGTCGGAATGTCAAAATTACAAGAAAGATTACTCCAAAGATTACATGTTCACATATTAAAAGCTGCAAATGAACTTTTAGACTATACATCTGATTGGAGAAAAGCTGCAAAAATGGAGTTAGATCAATTATCAAAACGTATGAAGCTTCCCGATGATCGAGCTGAGTTGATCACTCGGTTTTGCAAACAGTTTATATTAGTATATCAAACTTTGTTTGCTTCACCATTGTATTCTCCGACGATTAATGCAGACCCTTGGTTAAAGGAATTCGGGGAAGGAATCAAAAAGGGACAAGAAAACAGTGCGGGATACGGATGGACTTCACGAGATATGTGGGAAATTTTCGAAAGTTTAAAAGACAGCGATGGATATGCGGAATTTCCACCTCAAGAATTTCGGGATCAAAACTTTAATACCTACATGGATGATCTTGATAAATATGTTAAACCTGCTGAAGATAATTTATATACAGCACAGATGTTAATACAACGACTGACACAAGAATTCACCATGCGATCAACTTTGATTCATCTACGTGACCTTGATGTTAGATCTTTCGTTCCACGTCAAGTACAATTGAGGACGTCGACCCAATTGAGTTTCGGACAGGCTGTAGATCAAAAGATTAGCGAGGACTATAGTCAGATTTTCCATAAACACGAAAAGAGGAATTCTAGCGGTCATCATTCACACGAGGTACACGGAGGTAATCAATGGGTATCTGTACTTGGAGCTCTATGTTTATTGCTGCATGCAGAATATACTATCCGTATTATGCGTGATACGATATTCTCTTCCTTGTTACAAGCACAAAGTGATGATCCTATGCATGGTATTCTTGTTTCAAAATTTGAGCAATACTGGAAATTGAGAAAAGATAAAACGATGGACCAACAACGTGAATCCAATACAGAAAATCAGATTGCAGCGATAATGCTGAGCATGCGAAAGAAACAAGGTTCAAAAAAATTTCTTTCAACGAAGTATAAAGTAGCACCCATTGAAGATATATCATGGGCAATCTATGCCATGTTCTTTGAGGACCCATATTATCATTTTAAAAAGACATTAGATGAACGTACCGATCTGTTGATGATGACACATGCCACTTCTCTTGTCCACTTTTACCAATTGAGTGGAATTTGCGTGCATCAGGATGAAGAATACCTGATCAGATGGGCGGTGGACAATCCGAATTCGTCGTACGCGAGGGCATTTCTAATTCGGGAATTTGATGTCAAGGACAGTGTAGAAGCTTTAATTAATGTAGTAAATCAATTAAAATCACAAAACTCGGAAATTGACAGTACAGAACTGTTAGAAAATATGTTAAACTCAGGAGCTGACATAATTAATGATGCCGTTGCTAAGAAAGTTAAATTATCTCCCACTTATTGAGGAGCCTCAAAATATCGCAGATATGGGTATGAATCCAGATTCATTTCCAGAGACAGAGAGCAAGACAAATGTTACTAGCAAAGAAGAAGATACCGTCAATTACGTATATAGGCGTCGTTTGACTATGGGAGTTACGAGCAGTGTTATCGACACTACTCAACAACTTGCTAAATCTCAATACGAGTATAGTCACCAACAAACTGCACCAACCTTACAACGAGAATTACTCGGTCGTGTCGCATCTTTGATGCTTGGATATGGATATCCTTATCATCCTGATGCTCGTCCTTCATCAAAGTGGTATCTCTCACCGAGAGTGATTGTCCAATTTCTATTAGCCAACGAAGATATTTTTGTAGGTGATAAAAACATGCCAAACTCTCTTGAAGATTGGAACGCTTTACTTGATCCTCGGATGTTGGAATCGCCGATTGTCAAACGCATCCTTTTCTTGTGCAACCCTACCGAAAACGATGATTACGATCCTAGAACAGTGTCTCATTGTATCAAACAACTTGAAAGGAGCAAACCTAGCGATATGGATGAATATATAATCGAGCTTCTTGCCAGTGACCGGTTTAACTGGCAACCTGATCAAGAGAACCTATATATAAAAGTGGATCATTTAAAAAATGATATAGTCAAATTTAGTAAATGGCATGATTATATCGAAGCATACAAAAAAGTTGCAGAACCGGTTTTGCTACGTAATGAGGACCTAGAACCCGAAATAAATTTTGAAGAGAAGGAAGTAATTACTGAGCTTGATGTCTATGAAGACAATGAAATTTAAAATTTTTAAGTTAGCCAGAATTCATTACCTTTTTTCTTATTAACTTAAAAATTACAGTGTTGGCATTTGGACTAGTTGAAGATAATATATGCAGTTTGTTAATTGGATATTTTGACTATCAATTCAAATACTATGGACATGGTCCAAATACTAACATTGAGTAATTGTATATTGTGCTATTAAATAATAAAAATGTTGTACTTATACTAAACTATCTTGCTACCTTCGTTTATTTTGTGTTAAATAATTTCTACTCATCGTCTGTTCGAGGAACTAAAGTGCACTTCCGTCAAGCGAAGAAGTTAGCGATGTTAATCGAACTATATGAGAAGTTCCAAACCCAATGCGATTACCAATTATCACAGTTCAGGACGTCCTAATAGTTGAGTAATATTACTAGAATAAGCACGTTCATATAATGTTTACAGTACAAAAGAACTTAAAAACTATATTTATCTATGTGATATCAATGTAACTGAATAAACACATATATTATAAGGGTCGAGATTCATCATTGCCATTATCGTTATAAAAGTTTATATACATACATATATAAGAAAAAAAAACTATGGATTATATATTAAAGACCTGCAACGGATGGTTCAATAATGGGGTTAATAGATGCATAGCGAAAATACATGTAATAATAAACGATTTAACATTGCATTGAGGCAGACTGTTTTAATTTTCAAGTTTTATTCGTAAAAAAGAATTAATAAATAGAAACTTGGTATAGATTGAATTCATTTAATTTATATAAAATTACGTCAAATTATTAATAGTTATTGTGCAGAGGCAATATTTTAACTACTGTATTTAAATTTTCGTTTCTGCCCAATAATAAAATTATTAGATAGATAAATCGAGGTAAGCTACCGGATAAATAGTAATTATTAAAGAAGCCACAGTATTAACACCAAATATTTTATTATTTTTTTATTTGCTACATTCTATCTTAAATTTATGGCTAAATTTCTCTCCAATCTAAATCAAAATAAAGGTGTTAAGTATAACCTTCTTTTTTAAAAAAAAGGATGCATTTTGTTGAAACTTACGCAAACAGCGTAATTGTCATCAGTGGCCAAATTTGTAGGAAGTGTATACTGTAACTTTTGATCTTTCAAATTACACGCTTCGGTAATTGTCAGGAGTTTTTTAAGATTTTTTTCGTTGTCACCTTGGTATAAATACATCGGTTGCTTTTCGGGACCTTCTTGGCTTTCAATTGTCCACTTGACTTCTAAAGGTTTTCCACATTGTGCGATGGTTTCTTTGAAAAGAGAAAATTAGAATTTTAAATATTTTAAGCTTTCTATTTTTTCAATGCTTTGTACCTGAATTCGGCATAGTAACGTAAGGTACTGAGGCGAAGGTCATGGAAACAGCAAAGAAAAGAGAAAAAGCAATCAAAATAATGGATTTCATTTTATATCGTAAAGTTGTGCTTTTTTCGTGTGGTTTTTTCTAAAGTCGTGTTAGAAAAAGAATTTCTCTAAGAATTTTAAAAGAGTGCTAGTTATTTTCTTACTACATAATCCTTACAAACGTTTCTTATACTTTTTTTTCTTATACCAACTTCAAGATAAATAACGATTTTTATCTTTGATTTTAGCCTTGATTAATTTTACCTATAATACTTTAATATATGATAAACGTACTAATTGTGTGATATTTTTGATATTAAATGAGTCGGTCAAGAATACGTAAGTCACGTATATATGTAGGAAAATAATAACAGAGTTGCTCTAGTTGGAATTAGATCAGAATTTTGACAGCTAAAAACATTTTCAAAGTTCATAGTAAATATTGTTCATTGATAGAGAATAATGCTTATAATCAAAGGAAGAGCAAAATACAGGACTTGATGAGCATCATGGGGATCCTGTTACATTAGTAAGATCCTTAACAATTCTAATTAGCCGGCCATATAGGCACAGGCATTATTTAGGAAGATTATTATAATAATGGTGGGAATAATATTTACAGGATTCGTAATACTGTTGTTAGACGAAACTATTTTTGGTAAATGGCGAAAGTCGAAACTAAACTCGGCGAAAGTTGAAACTGGCGAAACTCCGGCGAAGTGTCGAAACTATGGCGAAACGTCAAACTCTTGCGAAACCTCCGGTAAAGTTAAAATCCCTGGAGAAAGTTAAACACAGCGAAGATCAAATATTGGAAAGACTGAGCCATGTGGTGAATCAAAATATTTTGCGTGTGGCTATTAAAAATGTACAAAAGCAATAAACAAAGCGATAATCTTTCATTTGTATTTGAGTACTATTAAAAGAAAACTAGACTTCAGGCTTTTGAACTTATAACAAATCAATTCAGCGCTTGAAAATTCAAAGTTTGAAATCCTGTTTTCTTTTAGTAGCGCCTATGTATTAATATTATTTGTATAAAATAAATATACTATTATATTGTTAAGATTTTTTTCTTTAGCATTTCATAAAGATAGATCACACAAATTGCCTACGTATAAAAATTTGCATTCTATTTAATTTTCTCCACTCTCCCAGTGTATACGCTTTCTTACCTTTGTTAATATATTTTATCATGGCTCACCCACTTTTCATAAAAGTCTTAAACGTATTATCTTACATTTTTTTTTTAACTGCGAATATTTATTCTGTTTTCGAAGGCGATGGGGTATGTATTTTTTTTTTAATCAATAGCTTTTATTATGCTCTTTTCAAAAATAGGCTCAGTTTTACAACTTTCATTATTTTATGTTTGTCAAATTTAGATAAAGTTTATTTTACATTGTTAATGAATTTACTACTTATAAAATAGTATAAATCGAAAAACAAAAGGCTCTATTACATTAAAAGTATACGATTTGCTCTATATTTTTTAAAAAATTTAGACCATTAATTATTATACTAGCTCAAGAGAAAAGCGTACCGAAAGTTGATTTTATCCGGACTTTCATAAAAAATATTTATCGAATTAATGTTTGATTGATGCATAATTTTCTTGTATTTTCCAAATTTTATAGAGTCAATCTCCTTATCATGGATCCCACAAAACTTACATCTCTCCAGCTCCTTTTGTTTTTGGTGTTTGGGGTCTTATTCACTTTTTATTAGGAGGCTTTGGTAAATGACTAAATCACTTGTTAATCTATTTTATTCTTTAACTTACATATTCAATTGGTGCTCAATTACTATCTTTAACTGTTTTTTTCTCCCTTAGTTATTTATCAATTCTTTCCTGCTGCGAATGATGTCGTTGTTGATGGTATCCATTGGCACTTTATCGGAATCTCGCTACTTAATGGTTTGTGGTTAGCTTCATGGGTTCGTTTTTTTTTTACCTTTTAAAATTAATTTTACTTATCTATTAGCTGCATCACTCGTATGAAAGCTCATTGTAAATCTTGTGTTCAATCCTTACTTATTTATCTATTAGGAAGCCAATTATCTAATTATTTCATTCATTGCCATCTTACTCACATCTGGCCAAATTTCCTACGTCTACGCCATGCTCAAAAGGCAACAATTTGCACCTGCAAATTTGGTCGACAAACTTTTGATCCATGTTCCTTTCTCTTTATATCATGCATGGATTGCCGTGATTCTAGTACTTAGTGTTTTCGCTATCATCACTCCTGAAAAAACTGATGATGAGCCGATCGTTCTTGTTAAAATAGTTGTTGTAATCGCATTACTTATACTTAAAGGCCTATCTGCTACTTACATTGAAGCTGGTAATGATATTGCTGGTGCTAGCGTCATTGCCTGGACCTTAGTTGGTATTTTTGTCGAGCAAGAAGATCCAGTTATCCATTGGTCTGCTCTCATTCTTGTCATCTTTTCAACAATTCATATCATCATAGGTATTGTTAATCTTTTCCGTAAAAACAGAGGAAGCGAAGAGTACGTACCGACGGTATGATTAAGTACGTATATGTCATAAATTAAATTTGTGTTAGATTAAAATTAAATATTAGATTGGGTAAAAGTTTATGCTAGAAGTAGTACATGTTACTCCGTTAATATGGATTAAGACTAGTTTTTACAGTAGCACTATCAAAGATCTGTACTACCTTTTTACTAAGTTCTTCCCAAATGAACTTCTTGTTTTTCAATTTCAAAAAATTTATATAATCACAAGGACTTATCTAAAGTTTGTTTTTTTAGTTTCAAGGGCGATCTTGCCTGTGTGTCTTTTTATTATTAGTAATATAAGATTACATATTATATACAGGGTATATCAACAAAAGTACAACTAGTCACACATATAACTTTAGTCATTATCTAATTAAGGATTCCACCCATAGGTTACCTACTAGATGTCATACCTGAGACCCACCTGTGAGTCACCTATTTAAACTTACTGATTTTTAATACTTATTGCATATATACATAATGTATATTACTATTATTGTGACAGAACAGGTTAGAGTTATCTAATTATTATTTATATCTAAGTATCATCTTATTGGATATTACTAACTATCCATAGTCTTTTGAATTTACTCTTGATGCAAACTTACTAAGTATAGTATCAAGATTATCCTTTAGATTTATCCAATTTTAGTAGATCTTGTAACTATTAGAACTGATTTGGTGTCAGAAGTGTTCGAATTTTAGTAAATCCATTTTTTTTCATAGTTTCTTTTTATATTTATCATATTACTTGCTAGTGTGTCTTCTCTCTATTTTTGATATGTTTATTGCTTCTCTTGTATCGAGCATCAACTCTTTATATTATAAAATTTCTTTTCAGAAACTTCCTTATATACTGATTTTCTAATCACATAAATTTAGTTACAGGGTTTCATGTACATTTATATGCTTCTGTAGATTACATAGTTTTGTCTTCAGCTAGAATTGAACTGTTGACCTTGTCTGTAAAAAGAGAAGTGCCTAAACCACTAGACTATGAAACCCTATCCTAATCTTATCTAAAGTTTGTACTTGATACTAGTTTGTATTTCTTTATATAACATCATACTTATGCAGATATCTTATAACCTGTTAGTTATGTTAGTGTGATCATTATTACTAATATTTTAATTTAATTATTAGAAACAGTTGTTATAATACAAATATTATATAGATAATTATCTAAATTTTTATTATTAATAAGATCTGAACATCCAAGCTGTTACTTGAAAGGTTGATAACTTATTTATTTTATTAAGTTATCACATCCAATACTTATATTTTTTTTTATAAATCAACTAATATATAATACATTTACTTAAAAATAAAGTATATTGTTTTAAAATTATATATAAACTTAATAATAATTTTATATATATATATTTTTTTGATATTAAGATAACCTTTTTGGTCTTTTGATTTTATTAATATTTTTGTTGGATATCATAATAAGCATACAATTAGTTATATATGTAACTTTTTATATTACTTATTTAAAAAGTTTACTTGAAGGTTCTTTACTAATTTTTATATTTAATATCTTTATTTAAGTATTTTATTTAAATCCTCTAATCTGAAACTTTTGAATTAATTTCATTAAATTATTTGACTCAAATCCTCATCTTAATCTTAGAACTATAATTCTAAAAACTATTTTTATTCTTAAAATTAGTGACTCTATGAACCAAATCAAACTGAACTTTTAGACAAGTTTAAGTTTAGTTCAGTTTTTAAACCAAACTCAAACTTGAACTTTTTAAAAACTAATATTCAGTCTAAGTTTAATTTCAAACTTTTTAGATAGGTGGTTTAGTCTAAAGTTCAGTTTGAAAGTTTATGAACACATTTAGGTTTGAATATCTATTATATGAAATTTATTTATTCCTTATACTGCCTAGTAATTTCAGAAAAATTTACCTATAAGATAGTATAAGAGATAATTCAATAAAACTTATCTAATTAATTATATAAATTAAATCACTAGTAAGTAAAAAAATATTTTGTAAATTGAATTTATAATATATAATTAAATTTTTCTAAATTAATTATATAAATTAAATTATTAGTGGATGAATACAGAATTATATAAGATTTTTGCTAATTAAATAGCCCTAAGGAACTAGTCTCAAAGGAACATTTAGTTAGCAAAAATCTTATATAAGTATTGCAAATTAAATTTTATATCTGAATTTATAAAATATATATTCAGTTTTAAAGTTTAATTTGGCAACACTTAGTAGGCCAAATAATTATATAATAAATTAGTTTTTTAAAAAAAATTTAGTATATT